AAAAAAATCATAAAGTGCTTTCACTAGAAAATATAGGTATTAGCTGTGTAAATATAAGATAATCACATCAATGTACAGTCCATTAAACTTAAAATACTATCCGATTATATTCAGATACATGTTTATTCCCTCTACGCCATAAGCGCCGATAGTAACTTATATACTGCATTAAAAAGCGCATTTCGTGTCAAAATTACACATGTAAGATCGCGGGTAAATACTTTTTATGTAATATTTGAATGACACTCACCTTACCAAATTTTTGCAAATATCCTTCAATAATTCTCTTAGAGCAATGATAATTCCTTGCGCAGTCCTCCCAAGCTGAAAAATATAATAAATATTGTCGCAATATAATATTATACGGGTACTAAATGGCACAGCGTCCTAAATATGGCGCTCGATTTTATTTCGTTTATGAGTAAACTAAATAAAATCGAGCTGCTCGAGAGCAGTCTAAGTTCAAAACTCGGCACCAATTTTTAGTTCATATTTTAATTTTAAATGTTCATTTACTACATGATCGGCATTGAAGAAAAAAAATCCGTTTGACGGATACAGGGTGATTTTTATAGACGACGGACATATTAACAGAGCATATGCAGAATTTAATTCTAAATCTGAATGTGGAACGTACTTGCGACTTCATTTTTTTTTTTCAAAGATTATTTTTAATTTTTCAAACATTATGAACACCTTAACAAATTCATGCCTTACCATCTCAAAACAATAACCAATTGACGAGCACTAAAACTTTTTACTGAACGCATAATTACGAAACCGCTAATCAATAGGGTGACCACTCTTAACAGATAATGTTTGAATTGATATTTTCTTGGTTATTTCTTGTCAAAATAATTAATATTTTTTTTGAATCATGGTATGGCCTATTAACATTATGGCAAAGTATGTACTCCGTCTAAAAATAAAAAAAAATCATCCTGTATAATACATAGGATTTTATTTAATTTCTTATTCTACGATGTCCTTTTCTTAATAGGCCGGTTTACTCCCCCGCCACCTTTTGAATAATTCTCGTGAGTATCGATAGCCCACCATGATTCCTATCGGGGTCGTCGTCGGGAAGCGTGATTTTGCCAGCGTCTATCCAGTACACCCGCGAGATGTTGAACGGCCCGCAGTAGCCCGCCGTGCAGCCGTGCGAAGTGTCGCATTTCGTCGACACGTGGCACAGGCATCTGTAGCAGCCCTCGGACAGATTGGTGATGAACGCCCCTGAAGAAGATATCCGCTGTTAACGATTACCGTTTAAACTCGATGACGTTTAAAAATATAGCTGACGCGTGTCCACGCTGCGTGGCGTTTATAAATTGTTCCACTTTACTTTATATGACAGTAAAAAGTATGAAAGAATTGTCGCCGCTGTGGGAATCGAACCCACGTCTTTGGCTTTTTTCTACAAATTTTAATGTTTAATCTTAAATACAGAGATTAGCACTACAATAATTAAAAAAATCCATAACAATATTATAAATGCGAAAGTAACTCTGTCTGTCTGTCTGTGTGTCTCGCTTTCACGCCAAAACTACTGAACCGATTTAAATGAAATTTGGTACACAGATAGTCTAGAGCCTGAGAAAGGACTTTTTAATTGGAAAAGGTGTTGTAGAGGGTTGAAAGATATTTATTTAAGGTCTTCAACGCGAGCGAAGCCGCGGGCGAAAAACTAGCACTGAATAAAAACGTAACACATGGCTAAATGAAACTATTTTACAGATTTTCTAAGATTTTATCTTTTTTAGTGCTTGTCTCTGCACTTATGAAAGTCTCAAATTTTAAATGTAGCTAAATGAATGAAAACTTTCGGCACTGCTGGATTCGAACCTTAGTCTTCTGGTTTCGCGCCCAGATGCTTTACCAACTATTCAAAGGTTGACTTCACGGCGCAAAATTATTGACATCTATCTACATTACGATTTTAAAATTAAGTGCTATACAGATTTTAACGTTAAGGTTTTTATTCAAATTAATTAGTATTAGAGTTCATGCATATAGTTACCAATTTAATAATGAATGAATATCATAATAGGTGAATGTGACAGATGATATAGTACGTGTGATACGGAAAGAGATAGCAGTCTATATAATAGCAATATATTCAAATTTGTTGAAAAAAGTACGAAATGTTTGTCGCCGCTGTGGGAATTGATCCTACGTCTTCGGGATTCGCGCCCTGACGCTTTAGCCACTGAGCTAAACGGCTGATTGCCACACCACGTCTTTTATCTACATTGTTTTTTTTGGCATTTGAAGCAATGTTTGGCTTGAAGCAATGATTGTTGTATCCTTTCCAGCATACAAACACTGTATGACAAACAGATTGACCTCCCAACTTAAAGATTGGCCCTACAACTAGTAAAAATTATTTCACCGTTAAAAGGACACAGAGGCATACAAATAATAAGGCATACAATTAATACAGCTTTCTAGTAAATATAAAAACTGACGTTCATATACATGCAGGGTTTATATTTATCTACATACAACATACACGAAGACTGTACCTTTCCCATCGTCTCGTATTTCACCGATCGATGGGGCTTATCCGCTTCTTCGAAAATCCGGAAAGTTTTCAGCGCCAGGTTCTGTTACAATCCCCCGACTTGTTCAGAATCCAAACGAGCTCGATTATGGGACGAACTTACCCTCATGCCGATAGTATTTTACCATGAATATTGTGTTGTTCGAATACTAAATATTCACACCGTCGAGAGATCTTAGGATGTCTGGATGTATTTTTTGTTTTTAAAACATTTCCCTTACTTTAGGATATCGTTATCCTATTATATATATATATATATGTATATAATAGGATAACGTTATATATAGTACAAAAAAAAATTATCCCCTGTGCCAGTACTCTTTGTTTGTAAAAAAAATTATGAGACCAAACGGCAACTATTCCACATCAAACTAAAGAAATCAACAACGCGTTTGTGAGCCCTCGGGTGTTGCAGGTGTTCATGGGCGGCGGTAGTCACTTACCATCTGGTGAGCCCCCTGCTCGTTTGCACATTTTCTCCATAAATAAAGAAGAATCACGTAATTCGGATCACACATCTCAGCGTAATCGGTGTAGATATAAAAAAATATCCCAATCTAAAAGCGGACCTGCCCCTTTTTGAAGTCGGTTAAAAAGACTTTGCCTCTGAAAACGGTATCGATCCCCACTACTGGAAAAATATTGTGTGATGAGCAGTTTTTCTATTGTCTGGGTGTTTATATAATGTGTATTTATTTACAAAAAAAAAAGGTATGTTTAAGTATGTCTATCAGTTTTCTAGTACCCATAGTACAAGCCATGCATAGTTTGGGACTAGAGAATGTTGTGTAAAAATTTGTCCTAAAATATTTATTTATTTATTTATTTATGGAATTATAGGTAAATGTCAAGAAGTTGTTATTGGTTGTCATGGTAACGCCGTGAAGTTGGTATCCAGCAACCAGCCAAAGAAGGTAAATTCCCCCAAACGACTTCTTTGATACTTCCCACGTTTTATTGCGCGCCAATCGATTGCCATCCTCTGGCATTAGCGTTCTATTAATCCTTAATGATAGATGGCCGTAATGATTCTACCGACACAAGGAAATCGAGCATCACGACAATTAGTTGGTCGGATAATAGCTGAGAACGATTAGTAGCATTGCACCTTTGTGGCAGTTCAGTCGAAGTATAAGGATAACGATGATGGCTTACTTGGCGAAGCTCTGAGCTTGACGCCGCTCGAAACAGTTAAATATGCAAACAACAGTTGTTACTCATTTTATGGCCTTGTTTTTAACCAACTTGTAGACAACCCTGAGAACGGAGGACAAAAAATTCAGGAAACTGGACAAACACGTCGATCCTGTCTATACAACAAAAATAATATATCTTGAAATGGTCGAGTATTAATGTTGCTAAACCGTAACATATTACGTAAGTTTTATATAAGTTTTGTATTGAGTATATTATATCCAAATGTAGAGCACATAAATTTAAGGACCCTGTAAAGTCGGGAATTAAACGCGAAACAATCCGGAAACATGCTTTTATAACTATTACTAGCGACCCTCCCCGGCTTCGCACGGGTGCAATGTATTATACATATGAACCTTCCTCCTGAATCACTCTATCTAGTAAAAAATCGCATCAAGATCCGTTGTGTAGTTTTAATTATCTAAGCATACATAGGGACAGACGGACAGCGTGACGACTTTGTTTTATACTATGTAGTGATGCGCAGCAAAGAGACATTTACATTTAAGTGACATTTTACCACATTTAAGTGACATTTTAACAGTCACTCACTTGTTTTGCATTCCCAGAACCCCTCCACTAACACTTAAACTTTATGGTATGGTATTAAAGTTCAAATTGACTATTAGGTATTATTACGAATCTTTGGGAAATGTTGTTTTTAGACTTTTTCAGGCAATTTTATAATTTTTTTCTTTCTTACGTGAGCAAAATAAAGCATAATATTGTTAATTTAAACTAATAAGTGGCTGTCTCACCAGCGCAGCGGTAAAGAAGTCAGTAATTTTCTTATTTGGCAGCCTGAATAAAACCCAGAACTTGAGAATGTTCTGTATGATGTTTGGGCAAAATATGTATGTATGGGTAAGTTGCTTGATACCATCAGATAATCCATACTAATATTATAAAGGCGAAAGTAACTCTGTCTGTCTGTCTCGCTTTCACGCCAAAACTACTGAACCGATTTAAAAGAAATTTGGTACACAGATAATCTAGAGCCTGAGAAAGGACACAGGATATTTTTTTATTGAAAAATTTTTCAAAGAAAGATATTTATTTAAGGGCTTCAACGCGAGTGAAGCCGCGGGCGAATAGCTAGTATAGTTATATTAGTCAAGTTATAACCAGTTTGAAAAAAAAACACGTCATTATCTGGTTTCCATCAGCGATTATATTGTTCGACGCGAGAAATACGCTAAGTAGTGGTGGTGCCTATTTGCTCTTATTAACGAAGAGTTCAAAGTCTAATTACAAAGATACTAGCCAGATTGATTACGGATAAAAGTGCGAGTCGGAATCGAGCACGAAGGGTTCCGTACCATTGTCTATGAAAACAAGAAAAAATCATGTCTGTTGTGTGGAAGCCCCATTTAAATATTGTTTTCATTCTGTTTTTTAGTATTTGTTGTTATATCGTCAACAGAAATACATCATCTGTGAAAATTTCAACTGTCTAATTATCACGGTTCATCTCATGAACGGCAAGCTATAGATTAGATTTACATAGCCTCAATTAGATTATTTTCCGTTAAAGTGAACTAATTTTGTATTGGGCGTGATTGAAAAAACTAACCACATGTTTGCATTTCGAGTTTATACGGCTTTGACGTCGGGTCGAGTTTATGCGATCTGGTCATGATACATCTTACGTTGGTAGGGCCACGCAGCAGCCTCGGCTGTTGCACGAATTGGCAGGCTCATCCGGGTAAGTATGGCGACCTCACAGAAGATCGACGTATCGAGTGGATATATAATACTTTCGCGTTTCGTCTGGTGAGTGAGGTGGCCGGAGCCCAATTTTCTAAAGGTTGTTAATGCACCTGGAACCCTCGGGGGTAACAGATGTCCATGAGCGGCGGTATTCACTAAACATCAGGTGAACCGTCTGCTTACTTGGCAACTTTACACATAAATGCAAAATAAAGAAAATGCAGAACTGCAGCCTACATACCTGTGCATCCGGTTCCCCACAAAATGATGTAGCTGATAGAGCAAACCAGAATCACGACTTGGCTTTTCGACTGCATAGTCTTCTTCGAAGTAACTTATCCTCCAATCTGGAAAGAAGCTCTTGTAGGTCGTGAGTGCGATTACGAGGCGCTCCAGCAGTTCGTAATGTTAATCGACAGATTTATTCTTGGTTTCTATTGTGTCCGCAGCATAAGAGTGTCCTATCAGTAACAATAGAACGAAAGAAAAGATAGAAAATACATTCATTTACCAAAAAAGGACGCACACAACAGCAAAAAATAAAGGAAATAAATAAAAAATACTTATAAATAATGCAGTAAAGCAAAAGGACATAAATACAAAATTAAAATATAAAACAAATGAAAAATAACACTAACAAACAAAAAAAATATTGTACGACCTATTCCGGTAAATTAGGTCAGCAGCTCAGAATTGTGCTGTGCCGGAAATCAAGGCCCCAACACAGCGCTGATTTTCAGTGCTAACCTTCACGCTTCATAATACTTCGATGCCTTACTGACCAATAATTTTTTTACCTCGTAAAGAAGCCCTCTGTACAAAGAGTATAGTCAGGGTATAGTCCACCACGCGACCCCGCGTATTTGTGGACTTCACATACCTTCGAAATTTTTGTTATTTCGAAAATACGCGGGTATGCTCAAGATGTTTTCTTTCACCGCCGAGGGCGTGATCAGTCAGCATTTAAAATTAACACTTTTAATGCTGCCGGGGATCGAACTCAGGTTGCTCAAGTATATCGAACTAAAAGCGACCGCCTGGACAATGAGCTATCACAGCAAATATTTCCATTATTTAAATCAAAACGATTTTCTATATTAGATTATGTCTGGCCGTGATTATTCTGCCGCTTGCTTTTAATGCAATAGCTCGGTTCAATGCCACAGCTGAGCATTTTTGCGTGGCAGCATTTCTCATCGGCTTCAAAATCATTCATAATCAGCTGTTACCCGTTATATCGACTCCACTAGTCAATTTCTATTTAATAATAAATATAAAAGTCTTAACTAACTAATTAATCAGGGGACTTATTACTAAAACTCTTTCGTGATAAAAATGCACTGAATGGATTGAATGAATAGAACAAAAATGGATTAATCTCCGATCTACGCAGAACGCAGATCTGGTTTAAAACTATCGCCCAAAGGTCAGCAAAGCTATTGCCGCGTTTTTATTTAAGTAGGCAATGTAAACTAATCAGAATGCAGTTTTAAGCGACATAAGCCGTCCAAGTAATCTTTAAATTATTCGTAAGTTATAGTAAGGTTCAAATTTATCCTGCAGGAACAATGAATTTCCCAAGGATAACAAATAGCCTAAATCACTCCGTATATAAAAACATATGCCAATCATTAACTCCGGTTATATATTTGTAACAATATTAACCAAGTGAATGAATACAAAGAGAAAAAATGTCATTTGAACCAGTTTATTGTACACCTTCAATACCAGTTACAACGTGCGTTATTACAAGCCCATAGTACATATTCTTGTCTTGATGGTGAAGTCAATATATTTATACACTTTAATGAAGTTCGGAAGTTTACACATTAATGAGAATTTTATATAATAACAAAAAATTCTATTACAAATTTCTGAGGTCTCGAAGACAGGACTGACTAAGATATTTGACGTCTAAATGTGATAGATTTTCTTAGCATAGCTTAATTCTATTCTCTATATATCTAATGCAAATAAGCAGGGGTATTATATTTACACATATAGCCCCTAAAAAGTTTGAAATAAAGTAAATACATGTGTTTACTACATGGGCAGGCTCGTCCGGGGAAGTACCTCGGAAGACCGGCGTGATGTAGAAACATCATATTTTCGTATTTTGTATGGAGAGTGAGGTAACCAGGAACGACTTTTTATTGGTTGGCAAGCATTCGCAACCCGTCAGTTGTTGTCCACGGGCGGCAGTAATCACTAAACATGAGGCGAACCGCTTGCTCATTTGCCGATATAAAAAAAAAACATAATAAAATTGAAAGTAAATCATCAATAAAAATTAAGAAAATCAATGAAACAACTCACTTGATTCTGCAACTACTGCCCACACAACTTGCAACAATCACTTTCTAACGGACACTTAACTCTTAAGTTGTTATTCACAACTTTAATTAATGTTGTACCAATGCAAAAACATGTTTAAGTTTTATCGCTGACGGTTCCCACCGCATGTTGGAGAGCGACTGTTTATCGCCGGCGTGGTTTGTCGCGTGTAAATCAGGTTTTACTCGCGTTATTCGCTACATCCTTACTAATATTATAAACGTGAAAGTTTGTATGTATGGATGGATGTTTGTTACTCTTTCACGCGAATACTACTGAATGGATTTTATTGAAACTTTACAATAATATAGCTTACATCAGAATAATACACAGGCTATATTTTATAAACATATTTTTATATATATCTTTCTGTCTGAATGTTACGTCTTCAGTCTATTCTACGCAGATGTAGTCGCGGGCAGCAACTACTGCGAAATATATGTGATTTCTATTAGCCACAATGGAATAAAGTCCGCATCCAAAAGGTCGAATGAGTAAAATAAGTAAATGATACAAATAAAACAAATTGATTCATTTGAGTCACGTTCTGATGCATTAAAAATCAGAGCATTGAACTTCAACATTTATAAACACATCTACTGGTTTAAGAAATGCAGCAACAGAAACGTAAACATAATTAAATATAATTTTTTTGTATTACGATAAGAAGAGGCAAAAGCGATTTTTAAGAATTTTAAAACCTTGGCTGGTTTTGATATTATATTTCCCAATATCTGATTCAAATGACTTCTCATTGAGTAGATAATTCAAGAGAGTAACCATTAAAACAAACACTGGTAGGACTACGCAACAGTCTTCGTTGCACGAATGGGCAGGTCCGCCGCGTTTTGTCTGGTGAGTGAGGTGGCCGGAGCCCAATTTTCAAAAGGTTGTCAACGCATCTGGAACTCTCGGGTGTAGCAGATGTCCATGGGCGACGGTATTCACTTAACATCAGGTGAACGGTCTGCTCGCTTGGCATTTTCTCACATGAAAATAAAAAGAAAATTCGGTTTATTTTTATATACAGCATTGTATTGTGCTATCAATTCACTGGTCTATACGTACAAAGCTGGGTTCATTCATATAGTTGTATATAAAGTGAAATGTTCGTAATAAATCCTTTTTAGGGCTGTAATAGGGCTATAACAGCGGACAGGGTAATATGTTTGTAGTTTTCTTAGTCATTATGATAGGGTCGTTTATTAAGATTATCCCACTATATAAACGGAATTCCCCTCGGTAAAGGCCTTTGGGTAGACCAAAGAATTTAGATTTATCGTTCAAAGTTATGCCTTCGTTATTGAAATAGTTACGGGGGCCTGCGTGATGGAAGCAGACATTAAACAACTATTAAGTTTAATAAAAAGTTAAGTAAAGTAACAGCCTATTAATGTCCCACTGTTGGGCAAAGACCTCTTCTGTAAAAAGCATACTCCACCTGGGGACCACACTGCGGAATGGCGGACTTCACATATTTTAGAAAATATTTTTTTATTATTTAGAAAACATATAGGTTAATATATAAATATATAAATATAGGTTTCCTGACAATGTTTTCCTTCGTTGCTGAGCACGTCATATGTCAGCACTTAAAATTACCAACTTCATTGATGCTAGCACCCGGGGATTGAACTAAAACCGGACCCTGAGCTATCACAGCTCGTTGGCATAGTGGATAGAGACCCTGTCTGTTCCCAAAGAAAGTGTGGGTCCGATTCCCACTACTTCAAAAAAATTGTGTAATGAATATAGTGTTTTCTATTGTCTGGGTGTTTATAATTATGTATTTATTTACAAAAGAAAAGTACGTTTAAGTATGTTTATCAGTTACCTAGTACCCATAGTACAAGTTTGCTTAGTTTGGGACTAGATAGCGCTGTGTAAAAATATGTCCAGTAATATTTACTTATTTATTACTAGCTGCTACCCGCGACTACGTCAGCATAGAATAAGCTGAAGGTGTAACATTACAACAGAAAGACAGATATACATAAAATATGTATATAAATTATAGCCTATGTCTTATTCTGATGTATAAGCTATATTATTGTACAGTTTCATTAAAATCCATTTAGTAGTATTTGCGTGAAAGAGTAACAAACATCAATCCATACATACAAACTTTTGCCTTTATAATATTAGTAAGGATTTAATTCATATTTAGGTAGGTAGTAAACCTGATTAAAGTGTCGACCTTCCTTAAACACCAAAGTACCTATATTAAAATGCGAACATTTTGTATGGTACAAAATTAAATGTTCAACAACTTTTTTATTGCTCTTTCGATTTTTTTTTCTTGTGTATAGTTCGATATCAGAGCAAGTCAAGGTCATAGACCGCCACGTTTAATGTCAGAATAAATCGAACGCAATGTTGTTAGTTTTTTTTTGTGTGTTTTTTGGACCAATAGAGCACGGGTTTGTAAATAGGTTTCGCATCCAGAAATCCACAGATACCGTAAATTAAAACCAGACCGCAGACGGCTCACAAACCCAATACGGGACGGGCCTAAAATGCCTTCATATTTGAACGTACAAATGCCTACTTTTCTCGTTTAGCCTAAATTTTTTTTTTAAATAACTGCCCTTACTGTAGGCTAACATATCCTGTGTCTCATTGTCTGTGTGTCATAAAAATAGCGGTCCCGTGTGGGAAACGAACTCAAGATCCCCGTCAATGAAGACATGAAGTCTTCTGTTGACTTTTAAATTTTAAATATATATCAGGACATATTTTTACACAACGTTACCTTATCCCAAACTAAGCAAAGCTTGTACTATTAATACTAGGTAACTGATGAAGATAATTTATATGTCTAATGAATTCTTTTGTAAAAAAATATGTATTATACATATACATCCATAGTACAAAACGAAGTCGTCCCGCGGTCTGTCTGTCCATATGTATGCTTAGATCTTTAAAACTACACAGCGGATCTCGATGCGGTTTTTTTACTAGATAGAGTGATTCAAGAGGAAGG